GCTGATGACATTACACGTGGGCTCACACTGCAAAAGATGATAAAGAATCATCGCTGACGCAAAGGTCCACATTTTCTGTACCTGCCAGAGACTGAATGGTCCATCATGGTCTCAGCTGAGATGGGACCGGATGCTACAGAGTTGAAAAAGTCAGCCTTTCCAGTACCCCTTCTCAAGAACTTCCTGATCCCTGTAACATCTCTAGCTGGAACCAGCTTCTTCATGATACTGCTAGCTCCCTTCATGGGGTGTCTGATGGCAATATCACATCAACCTGTGCAGTTTCAGATTATTTACAGGCAGAGAAGCTGATATTACAAAGGGCTCAACAGGACTGTTTTGCTGAGGAAGTAAAGGCTCTTAAAGCTGAAAAGGCTCCTTCTTCCGACAGTCGACTTGCATCTCTGTCACCAGACTATGACGTAGCAACAGACCTTCTTGGAGTGTGCGGCAGGCTACGAGGTAGAGAGCATTCATGTCTGGAGTGCCAACGATGGAGAGCACAGCCACATGTTCCCAAAATGCTGATTACCCACCTGCTTGACTATGACTTTATAAGCCACACTTTTATTCAACCGGGGTTGATTGCTTTGGACTTTACCAGATGAAGATAGGTTGTTGCATTGAAAAAAGGTGGAGCATCATTTATAAATGCATGACAACTCCCTCAGTGCATCTGGAGTTGTTGGAGAGCCTTGACACAGACACATTCCTGCTTTTACTCAGAAGATTCATTTCCCGACGTGGTAAACCATTTGAACTCCTCATGGACAATGGAACCAATTTTGTGGGGGGAGAGCGGGAATTACATGAAGCATTCTCTGAAACTGAACATTGATTGAGAGAAGATCTTGCTGCACAACAGATGTTCTTCAGATTCAGCCCCTCCAAGTGAACCTCATTTTGGTGGTACATGGGAGAGGGAGGTGAAATCTATCAAGACTGCACTGTTGCACGTGTTGTTCTTAAAGACCAGAGAGTGCCTGAACTGGTTTTGGTAACAATCCTAGTGGAGTTCGAAGGTAGAATGAATGCTAAACCCCTAGGTTACTTATCTTCAGATGTTTCAGATCCTGACCCAGTCACGCCAAATCTCTTCCTAATGGGCCTCAAGCAGTCTATAACCCTAGCAATCTTGGGAAAAGGCGTTGGAGGCACAGTCAAGTCATCGCTGATTGATTCTGGTCATCTTTAATCAGCTATTACTTGCCAGGGCTACAAGAGCGCAGCAAGTGGAGGAAAGATGGCAAGGCACTTACAGTTGGAAACATCGTCTTTATAGTAGATCCTCAAGTCCCTTGAGAATTGTGGCCTGTAGGGCGGATTTCACAGACCCATCGCCGAACGGATGGAGGTGTTCATACTGCTAGTGTCCAAGTAAAGAATCGTACCTATGTTCATACAGTTGCCAGACTCATACTCCTTCCAGCACTTGAGGACAAGGATGAGGTTAGCATCACTGAATAGACTTTCTCCTACACTTTCAACTGCCAAGTGGGCAGTTGGGGGCGGCCTTGTCTGAAAGCCTATCAGTGAGTGCTAGGATTTCCAAGGAACACTTGAACGCCTCATCACATGAGTAGCGTCTTGACAGTGAATGCGGGGTGCAGCTCAGACGAGACTACTCGGAGCTGATGACAACATTCTCAGAGAGAGCTTGTTTCCAGTTTTCTGTGCGTTTTATGGACCCCAAGTCAGCTTGATGCTGCCCTGGCATGTTTATATATACTTTTCAGGAAGATTTGTTTGTTTATATATAGTTTAATTCAACATGGTTAAGTCACATTTTTCCATTTATAAAGATACAGAGTGCTGTTACTTATTTCTTGTACTCCATGATATATGTAGCCTGACAAATGTTGAATCAGTACCTATATCTGTTCATGTAAGTTCAGATATACCTTTTTGGTTTCTTTATTACCGTTTCCATGTTACTGACTGCTCTGATTAGTTTAATAGTGTCAGTGTTTGATACAAGCTTACAGCAGACTTAAAAGGTTAGCTAATAACGGTCTTTATCTATATAGCAGATTCCTGTTTAGTGGATTTATTGTTTTTTGTTAATATGGATAATAAGTAGGGTAATTTGTAGCTGTTTATTACTGTTATAGTTGCAGTTATTTAATTATCCTAATTGCATTTTACATTTATCTCTTTGTTTAGACCACACACACACACAGACAGACAGACAGACAAATACATGTTTATTCCTTGGATTTGATGACCTGCTTTCTCTCTCTCCCCTTACTCTTTTCCCCCTTCTTCCTCTCCTCTCACCAGAATTTCCCCATAGTGGGACAATAAAGGGATTTTCAATTCCTGCTCTCTGTGTTAGATGTTCAGTTATTCCTCTGCCTCCTTTAATGATAATGGGATGAGTAATAAGTGTATTCTAAAAATGTTAAAAAACCAATCCACTGGCCTTTGTTTCCAAGTTTGAAGACGTTTCTCTTCCCATCCAGGAAGATTTTTCAATTCAAAATGTAGTGTTGAGTTCCAGGTTTTATCCAGCAGCCCAACAAAGCCTTGTTTAGTTTAGAAAACATGCAAATAGAAACGGATGAACGGGTCCACCCCTTTGGAATGGGGGTGGTTTGGCTTCTTTTGTTAGCCTGCAATGCCCCATACCTGTCTATGTCTCTGAAAGGGGGGTCGTTAAAGTCATAGGGAAGTCATATTTAAATGTCAAATTCTGGCTTAAACATGTATATAAATGTTCTCTTTATTAGACCAAATTTTCCCAAAAGTTAGAACATTTCTATTTAAAAAAAATCCTGTCTTAAAATCTGTTTTTTTTTCTCTTTATCTTCTGCAGGCCAATTAGTTCTACGTCAGCCTGAACATCTAAATTCGGCCAATCGTATATCAATGGTCATCCGTCAATAACATTTTTTTTGGTCATAGCATATTCATATGTCACAGCTAATATACGCAGCGGTTGAAATCAAAATCATTTCCTCTCCCATTGAGTTGCGTCCCAGTGTTCACGGGGATGGACGTCTGTGTCTTCGGCAGGCGTAGAGCTAACAGAACTGGCAGCGTTGCGAGGCAAGGGCTCAAACATGTACGGCTGGAAGCCTTCTACACCAAACCAAGCTTCTGCCGCCCTGGCGTCCTCTTCCACAACATCTTCGTCCCCGCTTTCCTCCTCTAAATAAAAAATGGAAGACGGAGGAGACTCATCCACGACCTCCGACACTAAACTCTCCTCCTCTTGCATGTTTCCTCTGTCCATAGTGTTCCTAGACAGTGTCATTTCTAAGACACCAATTTAGTGCTACTTGGTCCCAATGGAATTTCCCATTGAAAACCTACTAGCACTAAGTTGCTAACTGGTTAGCAAGATGCCTTCTACAAACCGGCCCAACCAAACATGTTTGCAAACCTTCCGCCACAACAATCCCACCCCCTTGTAATCGACCAATCACATTCACTTTATTCACTCCTGTAAAGTCAGGCACCACTCAGGAGAATTCGGAAATACTTAAACTTAAAGGGAATTGTTGGTCTGGCTAAATAGGCGAGGTCTTCTGTTCCCCTGTAAAGGGGGAGGGGTTGCGATGATAGCAGGAAGGAATAAACTCAATCGCGGTATTGTAGGTTTCTGTAATAAGTGTAGTATTTTTTATAGATGTGGAGGCAAAGGTGTCAGAGCTAGAATCCCGGCTTCGGGCTGTTGAACATCCAGGAGTTAGAGTAGGCCATCTTGTTGAGGCCCAGAGCCACCAAGACCACGGAAACCCCCACGTAGTGGACCCTACAGTGCCTGAGCAGCCAGGCGATTGAGTAACGGTACGCAGAAAGCAGTCGTGGATCTCTGCCCACTGGTCAGTGACACACCCACTGAGAAGCCCACTCTGCTAATTGGCAGCTCCATAGTTACACATAACTTCATTTCTGGACATCTATGGTTTGATTTCTTTGTGTAGATTGGATGGATCATTTCCCACATCTGTTGAAAATGTTATGTTAATAGCATCTTAAGAAATATGTTTAGTGAGAAAAACTGTGATGAGTTCCATACTTATTTTTCCCCTTGTAAATATATCCATCTATTCTTTTTCTTGTTTCCTGTAACGGTATAAATGAGAAGGGGGGATTTTACACTGAAGCTGATCTGATGGGAGATTAATGGTAAACCGCCAGGTAGAGAATAATAAACACTAAGAAGGCAGTAATGTTTGTGTGAAATAGAGCATGTAAAGGATGAGGCTGAAACAGAAATGCCATAAAGTTTTATTTTGGTAGAAAAGACATTGAGGTATTTCTGTATATTCAGGTCTGCAGTGGAGCATTTACTTCTGATTTCTGCCGCAGCTCAGAAATCAGGATGATTTCAATCAGACTGATTACTTCCTGTATTAATATGATGCAATCATTGCATCAGCTTCCATCTTTATTGGAGCGCAAACATGATGGAGTTAGAAAGTTCAGCTAACCAGATAATGTTTCCATGTTTTATTGATGCAGGAACTTGCTCATTAACTCAGTCAGCAAACCTTTTATTCAGCATCTCTTTCCTGCCGACACCATGTTTGACTTTTCATTGCGACTTTTTTTCCTCTTCATATTTCAGTAAGATGAGTTGTTGTTCCTCAGGAGAAAGGCTTTGCTCTCCTTTCTGTGCTCATGACTGTGATTGGTCCGCTACCTTGAACCCGCCCCTTAATACATCCATAGATTCATGATTATTGAAGATGGATTAAGTTAACAAGTAGATAACCAGCTTGGTGCTAGCGCTGATCCTGTTTCCCGTCGTTGTGGACTGGTTAAACTGGATGGACTGGGAATAATCCCACTAGGTTGAGTTTGCTTCATGGTACTGGCCTCAGAACTCTACCCACAGAAATCCAAAACTAAACTAGAGCTGGAAACAGAGCCTCTCACATTCTGTCAGAATAAGAAACCCAATAAAACCAGACTTTACATTAAAACTCAGAGTTTATATTGTGGTTCCAGCGTTTAACTTTAATCCAAAACAGTTTGGATTGTTTACAGATGGTTAACATTTCTCTAACAAACTGGTCACTCTCCTGGTTTCTTTCAGCCCAGTGTCTGGTCGGTTCTTTACAGGAGGGGGCTTTTCTTTCCCCCAATCAGCCCAGTTCCCACAGTCTCTGTATACTGGAGCTTGTGACACTGCTGGGTAAAGGTTAGGGACAGCCATGATGCTAGTGTGTCCTTAAAGCCTTAGCCTGCACCGGCTCCAGGAGGTGAAAGGGCAGGAGCATGAAGAACGCCGCCAGAAACACTACGCTCACCACCGCCAGGAGAACGTAGCGGCCGATGAACAAAGAGTCCACGACCTGCAGAGAGAAGGAGGAAAGGAATAATGACTGCTTTAACTCCACAACCCTTCTATGGATGGATGGATGGATGATGGATGGATGGATGATGGATGGATGGATGGATGCATGGGTGGATGGATGGATGGATGCATGGGTGGATGGATGGATGGATGGATGGATGGATGGATGGATGGATGGATGGATGGATGGGTGGATGGATGGATGGATGGATGGATGGATGGATGGATGCATGGGTGGATGGATGGGTGGATGGATGGATGGATGGATGGATGGATGATGGATGGATGGATGATGGATGATGAATGGATGGATGGATGATGAATGGATGGATGATGGATGGATGGATGATGGATGATGAATGGATGGATGGAGGATTGGTGAAAAGATGAATGGACGAAGCATAAAAGTTTTTTAGTGAATTCTGTTTTTTTTGCAGTGTTTCCTCCATCAGCCACTAGATGTCACTAGAGGACCGTGAACACATGGAAGCTGCTTTCTGTGCTTCCTGATCAGGTCTCTGTAGCAAAGGAGCAGCAGTCATCCTGGACCTCAGAGGGCGGTCAGGTTCAGGTTCTGACTTCCTGTGGTGAACGATGTGTTCACTACCGCTGCACATCAGAAAGAACTACAACTTCTTCCACTAAACATATATTAACCTTTAACTTGAGCAGATAAATGATCTGCCAGTTAAAATTAGGGTTTGGAGCCAGAATGAGATCATTATTTAAACTGCAAATGAAGAAAGGTCACACTGATATGCTTTGATTTAAAAGGGCAAAGATCTCCTTTCATTACATCAGACTGACCTGATAAAATCAGGAATTCATTGTAGTTCACCTCCTGCTGGATGCAAACAGCTGAGGGCGCCAATCTGTACCATGATGAAGAGGAAGGTGACCAACCAGCTAAAGGTTTTAAGCCAGCCAACAACACCCCACCCCCCAAACACACACACACACACCCAACCACCCCCCCCCAGATACAAACTGAGAAAGACCCCCTTAAGAAGAGGAGCATGGTGGGGAGTTCATTCGACGCATCTCCCTGGTTAAATTGCTAATTATGCAGCAAGCAGGAGCCCTGAAGTGTGTGATCCATGTTTCATTAATGCAGCGCTGACTGTGTGTGTGTTTGGGGGGGGTGGGGTGTTAGACTGCAGAGTGCAGTCTAGCACTGGCCTAATTGGTTCTGTGATATTTCACTGTTGTTTAACAGCAGGAGGTTAAACCAGCCTCTGTCTGCTTCGGGTCCTGCTGCTGAATGTTAATCATGTCTGAACCCCAGAGATCATCAGCAGCAGAACCATTCAGACCACCTCGGTGGGACCTCAGAGGGACCTCAGAGGGACCTCAGAGAGACCCCAGAGGGACCTCAGAGAGACCCCAGAGGGACCTCAGAGGGACCTCAGAGAGACCCCAGAGGGACCTCAGAGGAACAACAGTGGGACCTCAGAGGGACCTCAGAGGGACCTCAGAGGGACCTCAGAGGGACCCCAGAGGGACCTCAGAGGGACCTCAGAGAGACCCCAGAGGGACCTCAGAGGAACAACAGTGGGACCTCAGAGGGACCTCAGAAGAACCCCAGAGGGACCTCAGAGGGACCTCAGAGGGACCCCAGTGGGATCTCAGAGGGACCTCAGAGGGACCACAGTGGGACCACAGAGACAAAGATCTGAGTCCATCATGGTCTGTGGAGGCCATCCCCTCGTTCTCATTCTACTTCTCCACCAACGTTCAAGAGTGAAGCTGGAGCTCCAAGCCAGACGTCACCTGTGGGGGTGCGGAGGAGGAGCTGACTGTGAAGGCAGGTTGGGTCTGAGCTCCTTCCTGATGGGAAACATCTGCAACATCTGAGCAGCGTTGAGGTTCAGTCTGACTCTGATGGTGAAACGGTCATTTAAAGGACAGAGGAGCGTTTGCAGCTAAGACCCTGACGAGGCTCTCAGGTCAGATCAGGACATGAAAACCAGCCCATCATTTGAGGAACGGCTGCAGAGGAAGGAAAATACTGAACCATATCAGAGATCCAATGTTCTCCCTGAGCAGAGACACCGGATCTAATCACCTTCTTCCATTTCTGGTTCCGTTCTGGTGCTGATGGTCCCATCAGCCAGGAACACAACCAGGTCATTAATTAGGCAGAAATCTTCAACCTGCTTCTTAAATCAACGGTTCGAACGCTATGCCAGTGTTGCTACGGCGACTGCTGGTTGTTTACCTCCGTCTCTATGAAGGGAGGTGGGATCTCTGGGCTCCGAGGGAAGAAGACCAGCACCAAGGTGACGGCGAGCGCCAGGAGGACAACAAGGACGACTCCTAACCTGCAGAACATCAGAACATGTTTCAGTTAGCATGGCGGCGCTATAAGCTGCTCCTCAGGATAAACTCAAGCTAACGGCAGCAGACTGGACCCACGGGAGGTTTTTATGAAGAGAACAACTGGAACGCTTCCAGAATAATCCTAATCCTAATCTGGAGGCTTTTAAAATGAAAATATGAGCCTTCATTCAGTCTTAGCTTGATATAAACACCAACCTGGAGGAATAAAGACCCAAAGCGGACTCATCCAGAGATGTCAGGCTAAAACCCGGTATGGTTCTGGTTCCACCTCACCAACCAGGTCCGCCTCTGGACCAGTCGGTATTCAGGAAGCGGCGATTGTTCAGGTTCTCACTATCAGCCATGTTCTGCTGCTGTTAGAGAAGGACCGGCAGAGCGGCAGAGACAGGGGAAAACTCCCAGAATGCACTGCATCTT